TTTCAAATGGCAACTCACTACAAAAACTTTTTTATTAAGGCTATAATCTAAATCATTTCATCTAAGTCATTTTGAAACTCAAAAACAAAACAAAATTTATTTTCTGAAAACAAATGATTTAAACGCTTGGTTCCATATTTTTGTTCACCTTGTATAAAATAAACAAAGCACTCCTGTTAGAAATCGGTAATGAACGACCCTGACCAACAACCTATTTCTTAGAGAATTCTGCAATAGCCTTGTATTAAAAAAAAAAACTTTAGCAAATAGCTTCACTTAACGTTATTCCTTGCATTTTTTTGGCTTTACATCTTTCCTTATTCGAGATCTTTCTCTTTGATCCTGCAAAGACAATTTCCTGCAGACGTTTATGTCTACGACATTTCTCTCGCTTCTCTTAATTTCAGTTAGTAATGAATTTGAAAATAACTGGAACATATGACAAGGATATTGTTTACATTTGATAAAAAACCGGACGCTCTTGGTAAAAAATGCGGAAAGCAGAACGAGGAGTGTTCAAATCTATAAAATTAGTTATTGGAGTTAGAGAAAGGACAATATTGCAATAGTGCACCGTTTGAAAAAATGTGAAACGAGATCAATTATTTCATTTTAGTTTATTCAAGTGCAGATCACAGGAGGCTGTTGGTCAACACATTCCATAAACCCGGTTTTGCGACAATTTGGTTTTCCAGCTGACGTCATTGAAACGTATTTTACGTCACCAAAACTACCAACTTTCTTGGCAAATCTCCATGAAAGTTTCACGTAATTAACACTCATTTGCGACAATGATTTTTTCACGACACTTGACCTAATATGCTAGTAAATTTATCTAAAATATTAATATTTAAAACTACATTAACATCACAAGTAGTAACGGAAGTAAATGTTTTTAGATTAAATTAATGCAAAATCAAATAAACTTCTTCATTAAAAAAAATACGAAAAAAGTCCACCTCTAATTTTCCTCTCTTTGTTAAAATTGTCAAAACAACAAAAGGGCTTATTTCATGTTCAAAACTCTCGGTAGTAGGGCAAATTTTAATTTCCTTTACAGTTTCTGTTTAATTTTAATAAATATTTCATAATATTTATTGTGAAGTTAAAAAATTCCTGTAATAGATGCAGAAGAAAAAAAAGTGATATTGTCTCATTCACCATGAGAATAAAATAATACTTCCAACACTATATAAGAGATTGTAGGACCTTGTATACCAAAGATGTTCCAAATCTGTGAAATGACATTTCTTACTGTTATAAGAAAAAATGTTTACTCCAAATATTAGAAGTTAATAAAATTCTCCCTTCACTAGCTGCTATAAATATAATTTTTTTTTTTGGTAAGTTTGTGCATTTGGAAGGGCTCTTGAATTATAATTTTTAATTACAATTAAATTAGTGATTTAGAAATAAGTCGCAATTATGTGGCCTCGACTTAATTTACATTGATTGAAAAATTACAATCACCATAACAGAACTTTATTTTCCGCATATGTAAAATGTTATATTGTTGAAAAAATATGTTATTATTATTACGACATCATGACAAAGTGAAAATATCACATAACTTCACGGAATACGGGCTATAACTCAGATTTTTCAAATGGAAAAATTTGAAATTTGAAAAATTAAGTTAAGTGGTTTTTGGTTCATCATTTTCTGAAAATTATACTTGCCTTGAAATTTGACAGTTGTTTTGAAAATAATTTAGTTGAACTAAGAATGGTCGATTTTGGTAGCGTACAAAATTTCAAAGCTGTAGTTGCATTGTAAGTTTGTAATGCAGGCCCTACAAGAATCACCCTGTATACTTAATAATAACCTCTAATAAAAACAATAAAACGTCGTTTAAATGATGCCAATGTTTTCTTATTAAAATAATTGGACGGGTCACAAAATAATGGTTTTTTAATCGAAATTTAACGTAACAAATTTTCCTTTCAACGTTAAACTTTGTTGTTGTAAACATTGTTGTCTTTTAATTTCTTTACTTTTTTTTATTCACTTTCGGTTTCTCGTATTTGATTTTTTACTTTAAGTAAAGTCGCCCTAAATTAATAAGTAAAACAAAGTATGTAAGTGGAAGGTTAAATAAAATATTCAATTTAAAAAATAAAGCTGAACATTAAAATTTTCTTATTTAAAATTAAACTAATGACAACCAAAGGCATTACTACAAGTTTGGCTTTTCGAAAATATTATTATATCAGATTGAAAACAGATTTTTTTGTAGCCGAGATGCGTACCATCGAGGGAATTAATGAATGCGAGGCTATAAAAATCTTGTCTACCGTGTTTTATATAATATTTTTTTCACTACTACCCAGGAATATAACGCTGAAGAATAGAACTTCAATTAAAGGGCATGTTACCTAAGACGTAACATGTCGTAATTCACAACTATTATTTGTTAATTAATAATAATAATAATTATGTTATTTTTTACTTCTGCATCTATTAAAGAAATTTTGCAAATTCAAAAAAACTTCATAACCTCTCGACAAACTAAATAATAGAACTTTTTACAACTTATAGTGAATAAAAATTATTATTAACATTAATAGTTATTTATTATAAAAGACGATAAAGAGATTGTTTATCTACGTGTGAAAAGGTTTCACGAGTAGATAAACAATCTTTATCGTCGTGTATAATACAACTTTTTTTTTTCTATAGCAGGACTTAAAGTTTAAGAGAAAAAATAAAATTGCAAAAAAAATTACAATTTTTGGCATTTTTCAATACGAAACGTCAGATAATTTTTAACAGCTTTAAAGCAAGTTTAAGCTTTGTTGAGTCTAATTAGAAGAATAAAATATTGTATTCAACTCGTTTGAGTGTAAATCGGACGCTTTATAAATTTGTAAATTTAAATGAATAAAATAAGTTAAACATTTTATTTTGTACTCAATGTTAAAGAGTGCTTTTATCAACTAATTTCAGTAGATAAAGTAGTCTTTTATCGTCTGGTATTTTTATCTACTGTTTATATTCAAGAAATTCTGGTAGGTGTCTACAAAATAAAACGAAATATTATACACGACGATAAAGATTCCTTTATCGTCTTGTATAATAAATAACTATTATCTACCCTTGCTGTTAAAGTGTTACTTTAACTACCCTTGCGGTTAAAGTGCTACTTTATCTACTCAAAAGAGTTGATCAAGAAATAGTTTAACATCTGCTATAGAAAAAAAATATATAATAAACTTGATGTTATTTTTATTTTGGTACACTTTGCAAGTAGGCAAGTATTTCAACTATAAAAATAATGCAAGTTCTTTTATAAAGTGTAGAATCTGTAAGTTTGTAAGAACTTAACAAAAATACGTTCTTGTTTCATGCCCCAAAAATAACCTGTTTTCTTCTGTATTTATTACTTTTTTCATAATAACTATAATAATACGCCAATTCCTAATTTTTTGCGAGTCGGGAAATTTGTCATTACATCCCGTAGTCGGAAAATAATTTATGAAGGTTACAAAGTTACGAACTGTTAAATGTCAAAAACTCAATTTGTTTGCATAGCAACTACGTCAATGTCATCAACTTTAACAAAAAAACAGATATTTTATTATTTAAACGTGAATAAAATAGTATACAAACCACGGTGTAATGTCATATTTACCAGCTCGCATGTAATATACTGTTTTTTTATTTTTGTAGAACAATTTATTGAATCCAATATTTTTAATTTTTTCTGGATACTTACATTTATAATTATCGTTATTTGCGGCTTTGTGCTTGAGGACTTATCCTTTAATAATCATTTTACGGGCCAATGAGTTTTATTTATTCCTAATTCACTATATTAATGCCACAAACAACATTATCAAAAGTTACAATAATTTCATCATGGGTCACGTTTGCACAAATTAAGATAAAATGTTATTTATGTTACAAATTAGTCAATTTGCATGAATTTTATGAAATCAGTCACATCGAATTTTTGCGAATATCGATCACAAAATTTTATGCTCTTGTCGGCGAAACCTTTCTGTTAATTTTACGAAAATCCCACTTGACGTTGGCTTTGATATAAAATCAACATTCCCTCCGAAAGCCGCCAGTTCACTCACATTCGCGAAGGTGAGAGGAGTGTTGTTCGCACCAGCGAGTGAATGTACACGTGATTGAACATTCTTGCATCTAACTAAAGTGAAAAAAAATATGACAACTAATGGAGAATGTCGCAATGGGGTTAGGAAATCGAAACCTAGACCTATAATCTCGCGGAGTTGTTCAGAAAATTACGAAATTAACGACGTCGAAGTGCCCGGCACTCCGAAAACTCCTCGCACCTCCACGACCCCAGGTAAAAAAAATTCTCATGCGTTGTAACATTTTCACAATTAGAAAGCAAAAGCAAATGATTCTGATATTTATCAAGGTGATTACAAAAAGGAAGGTTTACATTAATTAGCTTTTTTACAGGCCATGAAAAGTGCACGTTTCATCACGATTTAGAACTAGACCATAATCCTCCGACTAGAGAAGCAATGCTACCGGAAATGTCGAGGTCCTACAGGATGCTTCTTGAATCCTTGGGAGAAAATCCTGACAGGCCAGGACTTTTGAAGACACCGGAGAGGGCAGCCAAGGCCATGCTTTTCTTCACCAAAGGATACGATCAAAGTCCTGAAGGTTTGTATCAATATTTTGTATTAAGAAAAATTTCAGCAATTTTGTTGAAACATTATGAAAATATTTACAACTTGCAGTACCTCTTATCTCAATTGTCGAAACTATCAATAACTAATTAATTATCGATTTTGGAAATAATATGTGGAAAATATAATCAAAAAGGTCATAAAAAAGGCTTTTAATTTCTGTTTTGTTATACAGGGTGAATTTAAAGTAGGTCGATTTTAATTTTAGACATATTTTTGTTTAATGACGCCATCATTATTTTTTAATGGCAATTGACATTTTTGTTTATTGTTTTTGGTGACATATTGTTGTATCTTTCCGGTGGTTATAAAAAATAATATTACATAAACTATCTTTTGGAAAAATTACGTTTTTTGAAATCGTCAGTAAAGAGTCTAAAGTAGTTCATTATACTACAATTTTGTATATTGTTGATTGCGAACATAAATAGCAGTGTTGTCAAATTACTGTCTTAATGTAAACATGAAATAAAGACATAATTCTACTGCTAACTTGTATCTGTTTATAAGTATTAATTTTTAATTCTAGAAATATTTTTTTCCAGTTTAGTGGTTTTGTATATTGGCTAGTTATTTCACTAAAACGAGAAATCTGACAACATTGGAGGGAAATATCAATTGTGAACTGACATGATAATAATCTAACATCCAAAAATAATTCTGCACAAATTTTGTGGGAAAAAATTTAATATGCTTTAACTAACCACACATTCCTGAGAAGAATAAGACTTTAGTGCCCTGATACAATAACTATTATGGATTTTGGTAAAATTTGTTGCCTATTTTTTTTTAATAATTAACATTAAAATACTTTAGATAAAACCTAAACTAAGAAAAGATGATGAAAAAACACTTTTTATAAAATAAATTAATAACAGAATGATAATTAGTTTCTATGAACGAATCTTTACTATTTCCGGATGAGGCGAAGCCGAGTCTGGAATAGCAGATGAGTTCACAAAAACTTTTTAAATACGTGTTATAAACAACATTTTTTAAAGTTTCCTAAAACATATCCAAATCTTATTTCGTATTTTATGATGGACACATTTTTATCTCTAAAATGAATCTTTTTCGTTTTTTCGGGAGAGGGGCCGAAATTTTCTTAGGGCTTTGGGCGCCAAATTCAGTTAATACGCCACTGTAAACTAGTAATCTAAAAAGTAAAACATACAACACAACAAAATTTACTAAAGTAGTAATTAAAAAATGATTTCCTCCAAGGAACATTCAGATTTTTAGAAGCAGCTCCTTTTTCGTTTTGACTAGTTTATTAACATTTAACATTTAACTAATGTGAAAAATATTCTACATAATCCGGTTCGTGCAGATTAGGTTAACAAACAATTCAGAAACGCAAAATTTATATATACTATTTATACATTCCAAAATATATAAATAACAAAAGTATTCTTGTTGCCCCACGGCCACAATTCCAATAATTATAATTTGGGGCTTTTCCTGATATTAGGTATGCATTTAATAGTTGAATGAATTTCACAAAATAGCTCTTCCTAATGAACTGACATACAATTTGTAGCTTTGTTGAACTGATAAGATTCCAACAAGTTTACAAACAGTGGAAGTTATGTTATGTTAATAATTGGTATGTGAGTATTTAAAAACGTCATTTTATTTATAATATCTACACCCGAGTGGGGAAATACATATGTCATTACTCAGGTTATTTGACCAAGAGGCGTAGCCTCGAGGTTAGACAGAGTTAAGAGTGTATAATGAAATTTCTACTAAAATTTGCACGCTATTTCATTCGGAATAAAATAATAAAATGTCTGACTCGTAACATTCAATCCTACATAAATCATTTCCCAACCTCTAAAACGTTAAGAATCTGTGACTATCAATAAATAGTATATTACAATTGAGTTAGAAATTATATCATTACCCTGAAGGCTGAGATATCCGATTGATTGTAATCACATTTTTTAATCAAATATTTGTAATAAAACATCTGTGTTCTTGGCTGTGCCAATAAATTAGATTTTTGTCATATGATGTTTCATAATTGTCAAAAATGAATTTGGTTTTTTAATCTTACAAAACATTGTAATTATTGTGATCGTCCTTTTTTATGATATCTAAAAGTGGCAGTGAAATCACTAGTGGAGCAGTGTATTCGGTATAAACTAAAAAAAAAGTAGATAATCGTAATGTTGGTAATCCTGCATATTACCGACCACGAGAGGTACTGACATATTACTCTCCAAGGGATGCAATGATGTGTTTGCCGACCTCTAAAATATTAAGAATCAGCATATTACAATATCGATTGTGAATAAAATAAATTATAGGTGATATCAATATTGACGAACAAACAAAACAAATACGCAAGTTTGTTATCAATTTTTACATCACAATTATTTATTAAATTATGGTCATTTACGTATCGATAAAACTATAATGAGTTTTATTTTTTATTACTAATGTGTGTTTAGTTGCCAAGGTGATAGCCAAGACAAATAAAACTTGACGATTTCGGAAAAATAATACAGGCTGCGCTAGAACTCGTGCCCCAAATAAAAATGTCATCTAAGGTAATATAGAAGAACGTGGAAAGAATCTATAAAAATTTCGAAGTTATGAGAGTTTAAATTTTGCACTTTGACTCTATTTATTTCTGTTGAAAAAATTTTCCAAGTATTTTTGCTACGGGCTATTAGAAGAGGAAACAAGGAAGTTGTATCCTAAATTGTAACTCTGTTTAATGTTATTTGTGACTTTTATTGACGAAATGTTAGTACCGTTAGGTACTAAATAATTATAAAAAAACATAACAAGTTCATCAGTATCATTAAAATGTCGATAGAATTTTTTAATTTTTTTTCCATGTTCCTGGTATCTTTTCTTACTTGAAATTTTTCTATGGAGCGCGAGTTCTGACACCCTGTATTAACATGCAGCAATAATTTTTTATCATGTCAATCACTTCCAAGAGGACTTAATCGTGCGGTTTGACATTTTATTTGTGCAGCTTCATGCAACGTCCGCTTCAATCACATATCCTGAAATTGACATCAAATGCGAACTTGACGCTCTTCATCAACAAGACAAATCAAAATTTTCATTAAATTCCTCTATTCTATCACCAAATATAAAACTGCAATTATAACATCCCCCATAAAAAAGGTTGATATAAAAATTATGACCCATTTTTCGATGACGAAATTAACTTTCCATTAGCTTCTTTTTTTATTACAATATCGGCAATCAAAACACTCTGTATGTTGTAATAGAACGAGCGTGTCGTCTCCATGACTACAGAATTCAATCTGCCATCATCATGACACAATCACGAATCTCATTGTTCTTATCTTGTCTTCTTGTTTCAAGAAGAAGGATCATATTCGTCAAGGGAAATCAGTTTGATGTAATTGTTCATTTCCACTCAATTTCATTCACACACAACCGACGTATCAGTGTCGTTGTTAAATGCGATTAGAGACTGCTTAGGAGGTCTCTCTTGCAGATTGTCTGATTATTAAATCAATAGACGAACTTGGTCTGGCAAGAAAGGAGTAATTTCCAATGCGGGTCATTATATTAAACTTAATCAAATCACGAGGTCAAAATTTTGTGAGCAGCTTATCGACATAGTCAGCAATTTTGTTAGCTTTTTTATCACTACCTGATGTCTAAAGACAGAATTCAGTGCTAATAATATTGATAGAAACACATTGCAAGTAAGTACAAGTGAGCTTTTACCACAAAAAAGTGCCTTTACAAAAATATTATGAATTTTGTATAATTTATTGAAATGTGATCGAAGCTGATACATGTTCTAAATTCTTCTTCAGCTTTATTTTCAAAATTGTTTCTTTTTCAACTCCCTAAAAATTTAATTGCGTTGTATCTCATTCATGTTTATTTTGTATTCTCTTAATTATTAGCAAACTTGCATTACAAATTTTTTGCTTGCACACTTTTTTCTCCAAATTTTCAAAAAATGTACTTAGTTTGTTTTCGTTTTTGTATTTTCGTCTCTAAATTTTCTTAGGCTATTTTTTTCCGACGTTTAATAAATAATTTAATTTGCAAATTAAATGGTCTTCAACATTAATGATGGTTTTATATTAAAAAGTATTGCTAATTTTGGTTCCCTAATAATATAGAAATTCGGGATTCAACCAAAGTTGACAAAATTGAGAATTAAAAAAAAAGTTAAAAACATGAAACTTTAGTTTATTTTTAATTCAATTAGTTGCTGGTTTGTAAGATAAGCAAAAAATGGATATAAGACAAGTGGTTTGAGTGGTGTAGAGTGTTTTGAATGAAAAACAATGTTATGAACAGTCATTAAATTGAATTGAATAGTAATTTAAAAAAATACCAATTCTTGAACATCTTTCTTGTGTTAAATATCGATTAAAACCAACTTTTTATAGAACTAATTAAAAGACAGCATTGAAAACACTTTCAGGAGCATCACTGTTATGTTCTACCTATACCCTCTTGCCCTCTTAGTCTATAAATATCTTAAATATTTAATTTCCTTAAACATAACAATCGATACAAGACTATCTTCAAGAATCACTTTTGACCACGTTTTTATTTCTTCAAATTACATTAAAATTTTTCAAATTTAAACTAGATTATTACCGATTTATTATCAATTTCTGTGCTTTTCCTTCATCATTCTGTTTGACAAAAGAAGTTTTTTGTTGATTTTATAAATGTAAAAATGCGAGTTTTTAACTACTTTTTCAAAAACTTCATCAATTCAGATCAATATGTAAAAATGAAAAAAATATACAGGGTGCGCCAGAACTCACGCCCCAGAGAAAACCAGGCAAAATGTTAAAAAAATTATCTATAAACATTTCGAAGTTATGAGAGTTTTTGACTTTGACTCTATTTATTTTTGTTGGAAAAATAATTTTCCAAGTTTTTTTGCTGTATCCTAAATTGTAACTCTGTTCAATGTTATTTGTGGCTTTTATTGGCAAAATGTTTGTCCCTTTACTCGTGAAAAAAACATATACAAGATCGTTAGTATCATTAAATAGAGATAAAAAAGTTCTCTTTTTGTTTAAATAATTAACGTTACATTCATTTATTGGTTTTAAATTTTTCGACACATGTTGACAATTGACATTATAATAATATTACCTCACCGATTTTACAGAAACCAATAAAAATTATGAAATAAATGAATTTAGTGCTGCCACCAAGACTGTTCAAAACAAAAAAAATTCAAGAGCACTTTGAAAGGTTAATCTTGATTTGTTTAAAATTTAAACCTTTTTACGTATCTCTGCATATATTCCTTTAAGCGAGAACTAAATTATCTAAAGGACCTCGACGTTTTAGCAATATAACTAAGTTACCTGTTGAATGAGTTTCAGTGCGAGATGAAGGACGATCATTGAATGAAGCCTGTATAACGGCGGTAATTTCCTGAAGTGCCAATTAGTAGCTGCCAATTAAACTTTGAATAGAGCTTTTCATTCAATGATACACTTCAATAGTAGTCTTTCTTTTTCTCGCGATTTTAACCGATCAGCAGTTAACTAGTTTTAACCACTTTGAAAATGAATCGTTGAAAGATTTATTAGGATAGGACTGAGATTTATTTGAATATAAAATGGATGATAATACAGTTAAGTGGTGAATTGTAAAGGACTTTGGTCAAAGTACTAGAAAGGCAGTGGCTTGAGAACCTCAGTTTCCGCAGCTTAAAAGCTTGAGCGAGTTTCCATGGCATTTAAATCTGAACCAGCGTCAGTCTTGAGCGGCAAAAACAAAACTTACAACACAAAAAATCTTTTTTAGTACAAAATGATAACAAATAAATGTATTGAATAAATCAACATAATTATTTTGACTATTTTGGAATGCCCACGTCAAATAAGAAGTCTGAGTCAAGCGTTAATTATTTTAATACATACAGGGTGTTAAAAAAAGATTGTAAAATATTTAAGGACCGTTACGTTGCGGACCCATGTTTATTAAGACTTCTTTGTTTGTTTTGGCCTATACTAAAAAAAATTACTATCTTTTTTTAACTCCCTGTATACAAATTTTTAGATAAATATCATTGTTAGAACTTCAAATATTTCTAATGTGGGGTTTAGTATGTCATAATAATAAGATTTTAAAGAAAAAAATCAATTTAGGGAATTTTGAGTCAGTTGGAATATTGACCCGGAACTGACAATTATCATTTATATAATAGAAATATAGAAATGAATAATTCTTAACATTTTTTTATGTACAGTTGGAGACAAAATACTTTGGTCGTCAATGTCACTTGAGTGACATTAAATTGTAAAGCATGCTTTAGGACTGTTAACCTTATTTTTAGCTACTGTCAATCATAGTTGACAAGTTGTACATATTTTTGATAGAAAGACATAATGTCTGTCATTAATTTGAAATTGTCATTCATTAAAGCTTGAATTACATTAAAGTGTCAGTAAAGTGACGACCAAAGTATTTTGTCTCCAACTGTACACCCCCGGAAATTTGTAAAAATATTGAAAGCAATCTATTATACTTCCACCAACATTAAAAACATGTAGTGTGTATTTACACTAGACTGTCAACGCACTCTGTGAAGAGTTGACAAACTCTTTATGTTGGAATAAGAAAATATTGATACTCTGTTTCAACATCGTTTATGTCCTAAATAAAAGAAAATAAAATCCTCTATCCGCACCTTATAAAGTGTGCAACCCATCCACCTAATTCCCTCTTTCACTGTATTAAATTACAATACAGTTGTGCTATTTGAAAGCCTTAAATACGATTTATCTCTTCTCGTGTTGGTTGCAAGGACAAGCTTATAAAAATTATTTCCTTCGTATCAGCTCTTCGCGTTGAAAGGGTAATTTATCATATCCGACGCAGTACATGAATTTGGTTTTAAAACCCGATTTTTTTTTTTGTTACAGAGGTCTTAAACGATGCGATTTTCGACGAAGACCATGATGAAATGGTAGTGGTCAAAGACATCGAAATGTTCTCTATGTGTGAACACCACTTGGTACCTTTTTACGGGAAAGTGTCTATAGGATATTTGCCTTGCGGAAAGATTCTCGGATTAAGTAAATTGGCAAGGATTGTGGAAATCTACTCTCGAAGACTTCAGGTTCAAGAACGATTGACAAAGCAAATTGCTGTTGCTGTAACCAAGGCTGTCCAACCAGCTGGGGTTGCTGTTGTTGTGGAGGGAGTGTAAGTGTCAAATAATATACAAGGTGTTTCAAAATGATTTTCATTTACTTACATGTATTCCATAGGCGACAAGATGAAAATCATTTTAAAACACGCTGTATTATATCACAAAGTAGAGAAGAGATTTTTACAGCTTAGTTGTTTACCTATTACATTAGGATTAATAAATGCGAAGCTATAAAAATCTTCTCTACAAAGTTTTATATAATATTTTTTTCACTACTAGCACATTTATTACCCAGAAGTACAACGGTGAAGAATATAATATATAATACTTGTTGTTTTGACAGTTTTGTCAAAGACAGAAGAATTAGAGGTGGCGTTTTTCTGATGTTTGTTAGTGAGAAAGTTTAAGTCTTTTTTGTTTGATTTTGCATTAACTTTACCTCGAAATATTTCCGTTAGTACTTGTCATGATAATAGTTTTAATTAATAATATTTGTGTCAATATAATCCCCTTCAGTATCGGTGTTTACCCACCTCTAATCCAATAATAAACATAATTATTGGCCACTGATGGAGAAAAACAACTTTTTACAACTAGTAGTGGAATTTTTTTTTGAAAATTTTGGAATTTGATGGGAGATTTTTTAGGCATATGTGTATGGTGATGCGAGGTGTCCAAAAAATCAACAGCAAGACAGTAACTTCCACCATGTTGGGGGTTTTTCGAGACGATCCCAAGACACGAGAAGAATTCCTCAATTTGGTACATTCTAAGTAATGTGACGTGACAACTATTTATTACGGATCCATGCATATAAAAGATTTAAGTTTAGTTTTTTATTTTTAAATTATTAAAAATGCTATGTACTTATTTTAAAGTATGTACCTAAGTAAAAGAAAATAGAGGACCATTTAAAGACCAATTTTGACAATACACTGTAGGTATATGTGTATTATCTTATATTTTTTAAATGTCTATTGTATTTTGCTGTGATATACTAAATTAATATATTGGAGACGTTACACAAAATATACAACTTTTGGGCAAACTTGAAATACTACTAATTTGTTAAGTGCATTATTATTGTAATTTTACAGTATTTTCATGTTATTTCACTTTCAGATTGGCTAAATGTTTATTGACAATCAATATAAGGTTTATAAATTACTTGAGCGTATTTTAAATACATACTATATTTATGTAAGTCTTAAGTGTGTAATGTTACAAAAATAAAATGAAGCAAAATATCTTTGTCTTTTTATTCCATTCACTGTTATTTAGCTACTTGAATCTATTTTAAGTTGTTTTTTACCGTTTTTGAAATTGTAAGTACTCATATGTATTACACAAAAACTAAGAATAATAAAATATAAAATTTTCGTAATTTAAAAAAGGAAATACAAACTTTAAGCTTATAATATATTTTCTTAATTTTTCCACCGAGTAATTAGCAAAATAAAAGTCACTAGACACTGCGCGCTAAAAAGTAGTACTGAGCCAAATTTAAATTTTTACGTTAAGAGAGCGGATTCAAAGAATATGTCCTTGGAGTCTGTTCTTTCGTTTGAGTTGCAAAATTGTGTTGTGATAAAAGATTTGTATAATTATAAACTTGGTAAACATTTTTTGGTTTTGTCGACGGTGACGCCATCTGGTGGTTCAAAAGTTTTGCCACCTGCTCTTAAAAATATTTAAAAGTTAAATAACTTAACAAATGTAAATAGAACACCCTAGTTTTGTTCTTGCATCTAAGAGATTATTACATTATCATTATAAAAACATAAACTATGGCTACAATTATAAAATTTTTATCTTGTGGAAAAATATTAAATTATTCACATCTCGTGATGTAAAAGAGTACCAATGTTAAGCTTGCCGGTATTACAGGAAATTAATCTGACATAACCTCATTTTTCGTAATGGCTTTCGTTTTGGGAAAATTTTCTCCAAATTTGAACCCAAAATGTAACTCGGCTTTAATTAATTTCATTCGAAATGGTCACCATCTTCGAGGAAAGCCTCCTGGGGTTGCCAAATCACTAAAACAAAGATTACAACGTAAGTGTTACATTTCCCACTTTAAAAGTTTAATTTAGTTTAACTTTTCTGTAGAAATAAATTACAAAGATCCTTCGTTACATTTCCGAGTTGATATAGGATTACCAGCGCCTGTAATTTCACGTTCTAAACAATTACAAGAAAGGTTAAGTGTATTAAAAGCACAACGTAAAAGTCCACAACTTGAGAAACTTGCAAGGACTAAGAAACGTGAGTTTTACTATGAAATATAACAGGAATTAAGTTCCAAAATTATTCTGTTTTAGTGTTAATCGACTTGGACGAAGCTAATACTGAATGGTTAAAAACTTCAGGGTTTTACCATATTAAAGAAATCGCTGACCATTATGGGGTTTTTGAGCATTTATTTGGGGACGCATATTTTTTGTCCATTATTAATTTGAAACTTCATTTCAATAACGATGATTTTAAACATCCTGTTTATTATGGAAATGTAATAAAACCAGCCGATGCGACTCACAAACCAGAGGTGCATTTCGAAAGTGATGATAAATCATTATGGACTCTAATCATGACAAACCCAGATGGGCATTTCACCCAACAAGATAAAGAATACGTCCATTGGTTTGTGTAAGTATGAATGAAAATGCCCGGGATTAAAATATTTCTTTATTCTCTTATTTGTAGTGGTAATATACCTGGGAACAAGATTGAACAAGGTGAAACAATTGTGGACTATTTACAACCAATTCCACCCAAAGGAACAGGTTATCACCGTCACATTTTCATTTTGTATAAACAAGAAAAAAAACTTGATTTCTCTTCTTTTAAAAAACCTGAAAAGTGTTTAGATTTAGAAGAAAGGACATTTTCAACTTTAGATTTCTATAGGGAAAGACAAGATGATTTAACTCCTAGTGGTCTTGCATTTTTTCAAGCAGACTGGGATAAATCACTGACCAATTTCTACCACAATACATTAAGTAGTGTTATTTTAGTAAAAGGTTTTAGATAAATAATTAACTTAAATTTTAGACATGAAAGAGCCAATTTTCGAATATGATTTTCCTGGACCGTATATAAGACCACAAGAATGGTTCGCAAAGAGGAGACCTTTTAATTTGTATATGGATAAGTACAGAGATGTCAAACAAATCAACAAAGAATTTTTAATGAGAAAATTAAAAAATGTACACCCATTTAAAGCACCACCATCACCGTTACCATACCCTAATGCTGTTTATTTTGAAGGGTATGTTCCTTCCTGGCTGAAGCTGGAGAAGCAGAAGAGCAGATTGAAATGGGGGAGAATTAATGACATCGAATAGTTTAATTTTCATTTAATAAATATGTAAATAATTAAAACTTTTTTTTATTCAAATTATTATTCAAAAAAACACGATAAGCGCCGATATTGAAATTTTAATACATTAAAAGAATGTCAATAGCCCGTATCTATTTTTATAACAAAATAAATACAACGTGCTATCACGTGGACAATTGCAAGTGCAACACTTGAACTTTTTTGCTAAAAGTTTCGTAATAATACCGAATTAACTTTTATTTATATATATATATATCTGTTAAATTCCATTTAAATTCAAATATTTTTTGAGTAAACACGAATTCAGCGCCCAACATAATGACGTGTATGTAGAATTACATGTTAGTCTTCCTCGCGTTGCCTAATAATTATTTTGTTTTACCTTGCCCGTTGGCATGTTCGCTATAAGTGTAGTGATGTGAAATTATAAGTTTTGCGTGGGTATCGGGACTTGTAAAATACTCAACAGAATCTTTTGTTCGAATTTCACAATTCTTGGTTGATGCACAATGACGGTAAGTGTGAAATCGCTCATAATGGAAGTTATTTGTTTGGTAAATCAGATACCTCACATGTTTCGTGTAGAAAGTGACCTGTTAAAATAGCTACTAACTATGAATTTTGTGAAAAATTGACACAACAATGTAACTTTATCACGTGTCAGTGTGGTTACCAGATTTCCAAAACAAATTTTATCTGTTTACCAAGAAAAAACCAGTTACGCGTTATTTTAGCATCTGCACTATCTCTAAACGTGATTAATACAGTTCACCTTGAGAGAGAAAACCAATAAAAAATCATAAATTTGTTTTGTTTTCCTACATTCTGACTTTTTTAAATTTATGTACTTGACCTTAGTCCTCGACGACCCGAGTGTAAATTAATTTCCGTTCACCATACGTACAGAATGTTCAAATTTACCCATAAATTATGAGTAGAACAACGCAAATCTGAAATGGAAAACGAAAAGATTTTCAATGAACAAATATATCGTATTGACTAGGTTTTTATATAGGAAAAATTATCACATTAAGCACAAATCAGAAAGTGAAAGTTCTTGGATTCACCCTTTTTACAAGAAAATTGTATCAATAATAGTAATAATAATAGTTATTTAGCAACTTTCTCTTTTATATTTGGGGCATTAGCACATACTGTAAGAAAACTGCAACTGATGATACATTACTCCAAAAAATTAAAGGAACAAAAAATTTCCAAATTTTTTTGGTGATTTTTGAAAGGCTGTATCTCATCGAAAAATGGTCGTATCTAAATTAAAAAAAAACATTTTGAAGCTTTAAGTTTGTAGTTTTGAGATCTTTTGGCAATTTTTTTTCTGTGCTACGGTTATTACGCAATTCTAAATAATAATGCGAGGAGAAAAAATTCATTTTTTTTTGTTTTTGGTCCACGGAAATGGGGATTTTTTTATTTAAGTCAATGCATGGGCCGGATAGCATGCTCCTTTACTTTTGATATGCTTTTTTATTTTGTCTTTACGTCAATTTGTTGCTGTCTAACTTTAAATGAAAAAGGATCCTTTTGTCTTTGACCATTGATATCTCAGCAACAAATGATCACACAGAGAATATAAGGGTAGTGTCAAAAACTGGAATAAATGCCTTACAAGATGCTTTTATGATTTTTTGCAATTTTTTTTTTTTCATGTTCAACATTAATTTAAAGAAAAGAGAAAAAAATAGCTTTCTGCGTTGTTTTAGTAAATTTACCGCGTATTCATTAATATTGATGGGGAGACTAATGTTTTTAGGTGTTTTGACAGCTTAATGCATGCCCCATAGCCCTGTAAATTTTTAAATCGATCCATCAAAGTGTTTACTCGGACAGATTGATCAAAGTTTTACAAAAGAATTAAAGGAACAATTGTTTACATTGTTTCTGAATATTGTCTAATCTTCGTCAAAATGAGAAAAACAATTTGTTTTCAGCTTTTTACAATTTTGCATTATTTGGTAAAATTTAAAAAAAAATCAAGAAACAATACTGATTAATTTTTGAAAAAAAAATCAAAAATATTTTTTTGAAATTGTTTCGAATTTTCTTTTTTTTTTCAAATTTAATAAAAAACTCATGTAAAATTGTATAAAAAGCTGAAAACAAATTGTTTTTCTCATTTTGACGAAAATTAGACAATATTTAGGACTCATATGTACAGAGTGTCCCAAGTTTTAGGACCGGCGCAATAATGACGTTAATAACAATAAAGACACATCAAAAGAATCGTGATGGCTATGACGCACCACTAGATGGCGCTATTCCAATTAGAATTAAATAGTCAAAAATAATATTATATCAATCATTCAGTAATTCAAAAGTTGTAAAAATGGCATTGCAATAAATAAGTTTTCAATATATTTTATAAATATATTTGAAGGATGGTGTTTACGGGTTTGTATTCTCTGTTTCAGGATTTTAAAAAAGACGAGGAAACTGGAGAAGCTTTATTAAATCGAAATATTGAAACTGGTGAAGACGAATACATTTCATCTGTAGCACCACTAAGGAAAAAAACATTTAAAATTCCTCCCACATATACAAAAAAAGCAAAAAATGGAAAGAAAACAATAAACCTTGATCTGTCACCGACATTTTCGACAGCTCTTTTATTTTTACTACCAACGACAATATTTTTCTACCCAATTCTTGGAATTCTGGCAGTAATGGTAGAAGCTGTAATCCACGTCTGGGCTCACAGGAAAAATAAATCGCTGAAAAACCAACATCTCTACTACCAAAGTCCATTACACATAATCTGCAAAGAATTCTGTGGATCTTGTAGGGAGGAAGAATCAAAAATGAAGATAAGCAAGATTCAAGAAAAGAGAGCCGACAAAATTAAAAAATATGGACTTGAGTATGTTAGAAGAATTGTTACGTAAATGCTAAGGATTTGGCTTGTTTTTCAAACAATAAACAATTTTTAAATCCAGGCAAATCAACGCTAATATTTCTTGTTATTTAAAGTGAAATCACCAAGTCAAAAGTTGGTAAGCTGCCAACTTCTTTTATTGAAATTCCCAGAAAGAATTTATAGAAAAGTTTGATATTTCCGTTTTTCAAAAAATACTTTAGGTAAGGGTAAAGTATGTCTGACATTGTTATACTAATAAAACTACTTCAATAAAACTTGTATTCTATTTAAAACAGATGGTTTATAAAAAATTACCTATAAGATAAAATTTCTTTAGTGGCTAATTTACAAATCTTATGAAAATCAACATTAATATGACATCTCCAGTATTTGCATCGTCCCCAAATCACTGCTGGATAATTTGGACTTGTAATACCATGAAAAATACGAGCTACTGCTCTCCCAGTAAAATTATTATCTCTATAAGTGCAAAGAAGTCCTCGAATATTATTGATAACTAAATCTTCATCGACAAGTTGGTTTTCCGTGAGCGAAATCGATTCCAAGGGATTAGGTGATTCAAAATATTCTCTTATTTTAGATTTTAGTTTGTTATTATGTTCAGATGGTTCTTCAGTCAAACACAATTTGTAGGAAGGAACCGCAACTTCGATCAGTGTTTGATGAACTGTTCGTAGTTGCAAAAGGGCGGTTTTTTCTTGATTTACCACATGCTCATAAAGGCTATCCAAAGCTTCATCGAGTTGTTCATCATCTAAATTTCCAGGAGCCAATAATCTAAATCCAAGGTTCGAAAACGTGACACTTAAAGTGGACCGTTTTGGTTGACCATTGACTAAAATTGTTCAATTTTTTTTATTTTGTTATTGTATTTGTACCAACCTGTTGTCCATTCTAAATTCTTGAGTTTGTGTTTGCAAATCCCACTATCCCAGCCAATGGCGGCTGCGATGTCGACAACAGCGAATTCTATAACATTTTCTTCATTTTTATTCTTCTGCAGGGCTAACGCCATTGCTAAAGGGGGGCATTCTTTGGCTGCTTTTCTTATTTGCAAAGCTCCACCGTATGATATGACTTTACAAACAGTGTAAGCTGGACTTAACAGTTCTATGTATTTCTTTGCGTGTAACTCTAAATAGCAAAGAAGTGTCGAAATATTTTCCTCGGGGATGTCTAATGCCCTCACTGTTTCTTCAATTGAAAAAGCTACTTCGTGTTTTGGACATGTTCCTTTACAAGAACATGGTAGAAATATTTTTTGGAGTAATTTCCTAATCACGTGACGGTCGATGGAATTCGCAAAAATGTGGCGTCTCAACTCGTTTTCATCGGTACCCTGAAATGTTTTTCAAAATTATTTTAAAAACACCCTGTATAAAAATATCGCATTATTTTTTTTAACAAAGATAAAAAGTGGCGTGATAATGTTTAAACAAGATAAAGTAAAAAAATAGGTTTTTGTAATTAATTATTTTTTTATTATTAACACATTTTCATTTCTTTTATTCTTATCAGCTAATTATTAATTTTTTATGGAAGTTGTTGCAAAATCGGATCATTCCACTTTTTCTTGACTTGGGCAAGGTCGTGAGAATTTCGAAAATATTACCAATACATTTTTTTGTCATCAAAATTAGTATTTATCATTTATCAGAAGAGATAAAATTAAAAAAAAAAGTACTTAACTACAGTGTTCCTCCAAATGATGGTTTATTAATTTTCAATTGGCATCTTTTCTTACCATGGCAATTACCACCTTAATTTTCATATTATTAAAATTAGGAAATACCAACTTGACAATAATAAAGGTCGCCAAACATTTATTTCACGAATATACTGCCAAAAAATAAGATTAAGTTTGAATTTGTTTATGTTTGTTCATGAAGTAAACTTCCATTCAAAAAATTTTGCAAAAAAGCAAATAAAAGCCAGAAACGACCTTCTCAGTTTTTTTATTATTGTTTACTTAAAATGCTCTGTTGATCACTCAACATTTCTAAATTGTTATTCCAAGTGAGTGTAAATAATTGTGACAAAAAAATCTATTAGCAACGCTGAATTATTGGTAATCCTTTAATTAATGTGTTATATTTTGACGCAGTGATGCCGACTCAAAAAAATAAAATTCACCAGATTCGAGTTGAAAAAGCTGTTTATTTAATTAATTAATTATTTAATTTACATCTATATTCACCAGATTCACAAAGTTTACGTTTTTTTTTACATAAATTGAGTGGTTGAAGTCTAAGAGTTAGATAAAATAAAATCTATTTTATAACAATTTAGAGATTTTTGATTCGAAAAAACAGAGTTTACAGTTTAAAAATCTTACAGTTTAAACTTTTGATAAAAGCATAATAACATCATTTTTCGCCTAATGCTGTAATTTTTTTAGATTGTTTTTAACAAAATTTTGAGAAATAATCGCATTTCTTACAGAAAAACATGCTATAACACTCGAGAACAAAAATGTTCAAAAAAATTTTCGACGAAATATTGTGGTTTCTCAGCTTATTTTTGTTTTGAATTAGCTCAAAAACCAATTAAATTAATTAAAACGAATTAAAATGATATCAATAACATTTCTTTTTGTTATTTTTGGGCGTGTTTGGACATGATTTGCTTAAACACTCGAAAAATGAAAAAATAACATCCTTAATATTAAATATTTTGTTGAATTTTTGGCTTGTTTTAAACGAAATTTTGATAAATAATTGTGTTTCTAACTGAAAACAAACAAATAGAACTACTAATTTGTTATTTGATGGTTTTTCGACGTATTTTTTTTGAAAAAATTTGACGAAATAATCAAAGTTCTGGTTGAAAAATGTGGCAAAAATTTACAAACTAGTACAAAAATCACCAGATCTCGTGAAATTGTATCAGACCTGGTAACACTGGTTTGACGTTTGAATCAAGCTTGCCAACTTAATATAAATGTAAACTCTCGAAAAAGGCACAAAGGACAACATTTTCGGCCTAACTGTGTGATGTTTTGGCTTGTTTTCAACAAAATTTTACAAAATAATCAAGTTTCCAGCTGAAAAACGTGTTAAAACGCTTGAGAAAGGCAAAAATTTTATAATTTGCACTTCTAATTTATTGATTTTTTGGTTATTTTAGCTAAATCTTGCAAAAAAACTTGAGATTTTAGTACAAAAACGTGCTTAAAAGCTTTTTCCAATTAAATTAATTAAAACAAATTAATATGACATCAATAACATTTCTTTTTGTTATTTTTGGGCGTGTTTGGACATGATTTGCCCAAACACTCGAAAAATGAAAAAATAACATGCTTTTTAAATATTTTGTTGAATTTTTGGCTTGTTTTTAACGAAATTTTTAGAAATAATTGTGTTTCTAACCAAAAAAAGCAAAAGTAAAGTGTCATTTTTGTTTATTGGTTATTTGATGGTTTTTCGACGTATTTTTTTTAATTTGACGAAATAATCAAGGTTCTGGTTGAAAAACGTGAATATGGCAAAAATTTTAAAACAAGTACAAAAATCACTGGTGAAATTGTATCAGACCTGGTAACACTGGCATGACTTACCTTTGCGTCCAAGAAGAGATGACAATGAGCCGGTAGACCATCTCTCCCTGCACGTCCAATCTCTTGAACATAACTTTCAAAATTCTTTGGCATATTATAATGAATCACAGCCCTTATATCTGATTTATTTATCCCCATTCCAAAAGCCACCGTTGCTACAACAATTCTCAATTCTCCAGACATAAACGCCTTCTGAACACTCCTCCTCCTGCTTGCAGCCATTCCGGCATGATACGACTCAGCTTGAACATTCAAACGTTTCCGTTTCTTATTCGTAGTATTAAGAGGTTCAACATCACGAAAATTCGTTCTTAAAAATTTCGTAATTCTATCACATTCCTCCCTTCTAGTGCAATAAATAATGATGCTTTTACATTTCGCAAATCTTTCTGATGTTAAAAGTGACAGTAAAGCTTGGTCTCTTTGATAATCCTTTGAAACTGTGAGAATGAGATTGTCTGGTAATGGTTTATCGCTTATTATTCCAGCCCTCCCATCTGGGATTTGTAAATGGGTGATTATGCTGTCACTGGTGCTTCTGGTGGCAGTTGCTGTTAAACCCAACACGGTTTTAACACCCATTCGTTCGCGTAAAACGCGACAAATCATGAGGTAGCTGGGACGGAAGTTATGGGACCATTGAGAAACGCAATGGGCTTCGTCGATACAAGCAAAAGCAATGGGAGGGAGTTTCCGAAGTAAAGAACCAAAACCTATAAAAAATAAAAAAACACAATTGTCAAAATTAAACATTTGTATTCTAAAACAATAAATTGATAATAATCCAAAATAATCACATTCGAAAATGTATTAACTCCTAGAGTGTATTTTTTCATTAATTTTTTTTTATTTTTTTAACTACCACTTCAAAAAAGGGAAAATCTTTAATAAATTAGAAATTTTCAGCGTTCAACTCAGATTTCATTCAATAAAACAATGTAAAACTGCAAACAATGTTGCTAACTCAAAAAATAAAGTTCACCAGATCGGTATATTTTTATCAAGTTACAAGATTATGATATAAATCTTTCCAATAGTGTCGAAAGTTTACGTCTTTTTTACATAAACTGAGTGGTTAATGTCTCTTTAAAAAATAAACATGATCTTTTTTATGACAATTTAGTAATTATTAATTCGGCATGACAAAATTTAGCAAAAACATAGTTTTTCTATTTTGCATCTGAAAAAAAGCTTATTTCGATATTTTTTCTGTAGAGTAAAGTGGCTTTTGTGTGGCAAATACGACAAAAAGTTATTAAGAAAACTTGTTTAGAATCAACATTTAGGTCCCTATACCAAATGTCAAAATCATCAACTATGACTTCTCATTTTTTTATGTTTATTAATTCACAAATCAAAGAATTTTATTTTTAACATCTTTAATTACGAATAAAAAAAATACATTCATATTGTTAATACTAAATAAATTTTTGACGTTTCTGGTAACAAAAAAGCAATTAAGTACCTCAGAAAAAAAATAAAAATGAAATTAAAAACATTTTGGACCAAATTTTGTGGATTCTCGGCTTATTTTTAAGTTAATTTACTCAAAAACCAGTAAATCGAGTCAAACAAATAAAATAACATCGATATCAATTCTTTTTGTGATTTTTTAAGAATGTTTGGACAAGATTTTGCAACAAATAAGCCTCTTAAAAAATGAAGTAAATCGAGCAAAATAAACCAAAAAATAATAATTTCGATTTAATTTTGTTAATTTATCGTTTTTGTATGTTTAAACTAAGTTCTTCGATTTTTTTAATTTCCATCTCAAAAAGGTGCAAAAAGGTGAAAATAATGTCGTTTTTTAGCCTATTTGGTTGCATTTTTTGCTTCCTTTTAAAGAAACATTGTGAAATAATTGTGTTTCTAGCTGAAAAATGTATCTACTAAACGTAAATTTTCATTTTCGACCCTGTTTAGTAAAGTATCCTAAAAAACCAAATAAAACCATTTTTGACCAATTTGGTGAAATAATGAAGTAACTGGTTGAAAAACATGGAAATGCTCGAAAAAGATACAAAAAATTGCATCATTTATTTTTGGTCCAATTTACTATATCAATAATTAAAAAATTAGTGTATTAATTGTTTGTTATAACAGCAAAGTTACAACAGTTTTTTACATTTCCAAAAAAAAAAATTACAAGAGTTTTCAACAAATCACAAAAACTCGTGAAATTTCACCAACCTTGTATTACTAACTAATTTTGGAAAAAACAATAATTAAATTAAATTTTCCTTTCAGAAAAAGTGGTTAGTACAGCTTATTAAAAAATATAAGACATTATTAAAAAAGAAACAACAAAGATCGTTATCTGCATAGAACGAGAATTAGATAAAAAAAGTTAATGAAACAAGTCCTTACCAGTTGATCTTTCTCCTGCAACAACAGCTTCTGGCGAAACCAACAACACATGCAATTGTCCCAAAGAAATAGCCTCCATAATTTTTTCTCTCTGTACTTTAGTTTGATTAGTATGTAAACAAGCAGCTTTGAGAAAAAACGGTATTCCTGTAATTTGATCCTCCATCAAAGAGACAAGAGGTGAAATAACCAATGAAATGCAAGACTCTCTTCTTGAATATAAATAAGCAGGTAGTTGGTAACACAAACTTTTACCAGAACCAGTACTTAAAGTAACTAAAGTTGATTTCCCTGACAAAATTCTCATAACTGCTTCTTCTTGTCCATTTCTGAATGACGTGTAACCAAAATTTTTAAGTGCGTTAAAAACCTCTTTTGGAGTATCTTAAAGAGTTTTACTTTTTAGAAAATCAAACAAATTTAAAGAAAAAAAATTACCAATAACAGAACCATCCTCATTGGTTTTATAATAAGGCTCAACAACTTTGACCTGATCCATGTAAGATTGCAAATCTAACTTTGCTGCATGTTCTTCTAATCTCAAAGCCTCAGCCAAGATGGCTTCTGTTTCTACATCATCAAATAATTCATTATCAGAATTATCAGATTTTTGTTGCTCCATCTTTGAATCTTTATCCAAATCCAAATTTGGTGTCCTTATCGTTAAATGACTTGCTTTTGCCATCTCAGCCGCCTCTTCAAGGGTCGGAAAAGGACACACTTCCTCATCATCTATCATCGGAAGTAGAGCATCACCTTTTGTTTTAGTGCAATTCCTGGCAAAATGTCCAGTTTGTCCACAATTAAAACAAGTCAACATCCCACCATCACAACCCCCCATGTCCATATCAGGACCCGCAAGTGCCTTCTTCTTGTTTTTCCATTGCTGTTTTTTGAACTTGCCAAAAGTCATAGTCTTTTTACCTCTACAGTAAACTTTTTTCCTCAAATTGATTGTAATAAAGTTCTCGTTCAAGCTTCCTGACTGAATTTTCTTTTCTAGTTTTTCCAGTTGTTGCTCATGTTTGCTCTTAATTTGGCCCTCCTTAACATCAGAAGAAGTTGTGGTTTCTATTTTTATAAGTTTCTTTAAATTTTTAAAACGTGGAGCAGAAACTCGTGGTTTGATGGAATATTCAAGTTCGTAAGTTGTGTCCACTTCAGGTTGAATTTCAGGTTTTTTGCCTTTTTTTGGCCTGATTTTAGCTTTTTTGGTAGTTTTTGGTGGTGAAATATTAACAGTTGAAAATTTATTTTTACTCTCACTAAGAGAAAACTCTGGATCTGCAAGATCGTTATCTGAATGAAAAGGATCTTCATTTTCACTGTGAGACTCTGTCATATCTGCTTGGGTTTTAGTACTTCTGGTAGATTTTCGAAAATTTTTTTTGTTTTTCTCTTCAACTTTTTTAATTGTTTTAGTGCTTTTATTTTTAGTTTTCTTCCTTGTAACATTCGAGACTTTCTCTGTGTCGTCAGAAACCTCTTGAAACTGAAACGGATCCTCGGTTTCAATGGTTTTCGGTTGTGTTTCTTTAATATTTTGTGTTTGAGCTTTAATAATTGTCCCACTTTGGGAAGAATCAATTTTTATTTTTTTAGCACAATTCACAGAACTTTCTTCATCTGAATTATCAATAATATCGTCACTGTTGTAATCAAGACACGTGGCAGATGCATCATGAAAATCACTGAAATCCTGAAGTTTTCCAACTCCTGAACTCATCGCCACTCTTTCTAACCAGCCTGAATCAACCGATTTTAGAGTTTTGTAATTATTGTCAATAACACTTTGAATAATATTTGTCGGTTGGGTCAAAACCTTGTCAACAGTCATTACTTTAACATTACTTTTACTAAAAATTCCTTCAAATGATAAATTATCATCGTCGTTTTTTGAAACATTTTCGACTAAAGCTTGTGACGAAGTTGAATTATCAAAACTTGTGTCACTTTTCTTCTGCGAAAATGATTTTCGTGAGTATCGTTTTGATAATTTTGAGCCACAGAATAATTTTTTAGGAAGAGTGGAATTATCAGTGTCTGGTTTGTTTGAAACACTTTTTTTAGACTGTTTGTTGAGATGCAAACCCCAAGTGTCTTCAGAAGGTTCCTTCGATTGTGTTTCAATCTCGGTTTCAACAGTGGTTGATATTGATGTTGATGAAGTTTCTTGTGTTTCAACATTACTTTCATCATCCGAATTAAAACCTTCAACATCTTTAAAACTTTGTTCTAATGCAGCAGTTTTAAGTTGGTAGTATTGTCGATAAGCGTCTCGAACTTTTTTATCGGCCTCTCGAATATCTAACTGTTATAAAAAAAAAACAACTTAATAATAGTGATCTACAAGGGAGGAAAGTGTATCTTTTCTTCTCGAGTCTTGTCGAGGGCAGTAACCACCAAGAGTAGAAAAGACATTTTCCTCCAGTGTAATACATATCATTTTTCTACTACCCCGCAAGAAAAACTTCACAATTAACAACTTCTAGCAGCATGCTCTCCCGTATCTATGGAAGAGGTAAAATTTTTACTCCCCTGGATTATACAATGTTGACAGCTCAAAAAAATAAAATTCACCAGATCCGAGTTGAAAAAGTTGGCAAATTTACACCAATTTTCACCAGATTATAAGTCTACGATTTCTAATAATCTTTCCAATAGTGCGGAGGGTGGTTAAAGACTAAAAATTAGGTGGAATTAGGTAGAAAATATTATTTTTTATAACAGTTTAGTATGGCAATAGCTTGCGAAAAAGAAGTACATTTCAGCTTAAAGATCTACTTACATTCTCAAAAAAAAAAAGAAAAAAACGATTTTCGGCCTAATTCTGTGATTTTTTCGGCTTGTTCTTAACAAAATTTGGAAAAATAATTTTTTAGATCTCTACCTGAAAAACGTAGTAAAATGCTCGAGAAATGTAAAAATTATAAAATTGTCGACTTAATTTGTTGAATAAATAAAAAAAACGTAGTCAAATCGTGTAAGACAAACAAAATGACATTAATATCAATTTTTTTTGGTAATTCTTCGGCGTGTTTAGATAATATTTTGTAAAAAATGAGCCTCTGGCTCAAAAACCAAGTAAGTCGAGCGAAGTACGTTAAAAAATGATGAGTATAAATTACGATTTAATTTTGTAATTTTTTAGCATCTTCAAATAAAATTTTTCGAAATTTTTTTATTTCATCTCAAAAGCGTGCTTAAACACTCACAAAAAGCAAAAAAACGCCGTTTTTCATTATTTTTTTCAGAAAATTTGGCGAAATAATCAAGTTTTTGGTAAAAAAGAACGTGGAAAACGTTCTAAGAAAATCAAAGTGTAATATTTTTTGTTGTAACCACACCTCTTTTCATTTCCAAAAAAATCACCAGATATTCGAATTTTGACACAAAAATCACCAAAAATTTTAATTCTGTAACTATACATACTCTGACAGTAAAGTAATTTTTCATTACTCGGCTGTCATAACACATTCGTAATGAAAAATAACACTTTTAGTGCCTTGATACGTAAATAACTATTATTGTGATTTTGACAGATGAGGAAGGTAAAATTTTTACCTCCCCGAGAGGTGATTGACCACTTTCCTTTCTAAAATCAGGGTGGAAAAACTTATTTTCTGTTAAGGTCGTAGGAAAAAGACATTAAACAGAAATTTATAAATTACCTTTGAGGGCAAGCGGCCTTGAGTCTTTTTAAAACTGTGTTCCCAAACTTTCACAATGTATTTACACTTGTCGTACGTGCTTTTCACATCAGGATTCTCCAACAAATCCATTTTAATAGATTTAAAACGTTTTATTAATCAACACGTTTCACTGTTTTGACATTTTGTGACAGATAAAATCGCGCGCGATTCTTAAACAGTGTCACCAATTTAAGGACATGGAAAAAACCAACCAAGCAAAATTATGCTCAATTTTGAAAGATTGAAAGAAAAAATTACTTAAATAATATGAACCGGGGCGGCCTAAAGTGTTTTTTTCTATTAAACTAAAAATTTGTACAGGACCAGTTATTTTCGATATTTCATTATAACTAATATACAAAATCGATTTGGTTACTAAAATTTACAATTGGTAGAAACTGACAAATTACGTCTGACACAAGTCATTTATAGGTTAGGGCACAAATGTAAATAATAATATTTTTATTAAATTTCTAGATGCAAATGTATTCTGAAGTGAGATGTAAAAAATGCCGAAATAGAATCTTTGGCGAAGAAGAATGTAAATCGTTATTTTTAAGTGCCCACAATATTGTCTTGGACTCGATAAATGACTCTGAATGCAGCATGGAAAATGTTATCTTCCTAAATGAGGATTGCGTTCCTCAGTGGATTAAAGACAGAATAATTGAGGAGAATTGGTCTAAGGGAAGAATAAATTGTCAACAGTGTGATTCAAGAATTGGGGCATTTAATTTTGTTTCAGGCCAGAAATGTAATTGCTCAAATTTTGTCTTACCTTTTGTACACATTATAAAAAGTAAAGTTGATCTGGTATGGTAAATAAAGGGCTATTAACATTGAAAACTCTATTTTGTAAAAAATACAAAAAGTAAAACCTGCTACCAAAATGAATACTAAATATAAAGTGTAAATATAATATTAATTAAAATATGTTGAGCATGAATATTTTGGTATTATAGTAACTATATAAATAATAAAAATATAAATATTGTCAATTTGGAGCTGCTTACAAAAATGTCAAACAAAATAAGTGTAGTAAAAATATCAAAATTATTGTTGTTTACAACCCCCGTCTTTACTCTTCTTCTTTTGTTTTTTCTCCAACGAAGCAGTTCTACGTTGGCCTTGAATCGGCATATATGGTGGAATATTATTTTCGTCATCCATTTCTGAGATATCAGGGGGTGGTAAAACCATCCCAGGGCTACTACTCGAAGTACTTGTAGTTACAGTACTGGAAGTGGTTTCATAACTGGATGAAGAATGCATTCCTCTTTTGGGATATGTAGGGTCTATAGCCATAGCTATGTTGATATGTTGAGAATTCGGCGACAACCCACTTGCATTATCACAGTTTTCGGGTTCTGGATATCTGGGTTTATTGATACGGTTCAAGGGCGACCTAAAAACAGCAAAATTAGTAAAAGGAAAACTAAAGTCTGTTTTTTTTTAAACGGAAATTTCAAATAATAATAATAACGAAAAAAAAAAGTTAGGCTTTTGATTTAATTTAATTTCAATATTCCTTACTTGACCTGACCAATGATTGTGATTTTTTTTAATTAGTTTGGCAACCTTGATTTTCAAATGCAAACGTCAAACTTTTATAGGCAATTGTCAATTAATTTGCGACGGGTGACTGTTGATTTAGCCGTCACCTGAAACATTCTGATATAACAAATTAGAAGGTTTACCAATAAATAATTCAATGTTGTCAATAGATTTTTTGTCACAAAGAAGCAATTATTATTTGCTAGTAGCAAATTATGAGTGAAGTTTTGATGCTATTGATTTGATTTGGTTTTAATTGCTATTGGCTACTAGAAAATTATCAATAGTAATATCCCGAGTGATGATGAAATTGTCGATAATTTTGACTATTTCCCGAACAAAATTTACAATATTTTCATTTTATAAGAAATTAAAAATATATATATTAATGTCAAACAAATTACCTCATGACGATTGGCTAGCAGGATTTATTAAAAAAATAATCTAAACCAATTAATAATCTGTGTTTGAAGTACATAATGGAACTAAAAAAAAATCGATGTTTTACACATTAAAAAAAAATCATTGTTATGCTTTCTTAGATATACCGAAATAAAATTCAAAACAAATTTTCCCAAATGCTTTTTTAGTTTTATTTCATTTTGTTTTCTTCTATTGCCTTTTTTCTTTTCTATTTGAATTATTTAGTTTAAAAAGAAAACAGTTTAAAAAAAAGTAACTCAAAAACAAAATATTTTTGCATTTTTAAACTTTATTGGTCGATTTTGTTTAGTTTTTGAAATAAGTTGTTTTTTGACGAAAAAAATACTGTTTTAAAAAACTTACTACACAAAAACTAAAACAGCTAGCATTTTTTTTGACAACTGCCAAGAAAAAGATACAAACTTTAAGACTAAGTGATTGGCACTTGTACAGATAAAAAAATTAAGAAGTTTTTTGAAAATTAAATAACTTAAAAATTTAAACAGAACACCCTATTTTTTGTTTCTGCATCAAAGATATTATTAAATTATCTTTCCAAAAACATTTACTTTTAAGTGACTAATAACTAAGAAGATATTTAACTATAAACATTAAAAAGAAACAATGGTTTTACCTAAGTTCAATAAATTATTTTGATTTGTTGTCATTTTTTCTCTAGCTATGAGGATAAAAATTTCAAAAACCGAAAGTGAGGTTAGTTGCATAAGACCCGTTTAACATTTTTATGTCAATCGAATAAAAAATCGTCCAAAATTCCGTGTCCGCAATTGTATGTCTATAAAGAATCAAAATAGTGGCAAATTACAAAAAAGTTTATGCAATAACTCGTATTATTGGACTGTCTGGAATCAATATAATCACTTGTGAATTAATGGAAGTTTTCTTGAATTGCTATATTTTGTTTAGAATTTTCGAAGATAATTTCTTTTGAAAATTGCGCTGAACTGCTTAAAACTGTTAGAAATAATTTGAAATTACAGGAATTATTTTACAATTACGAAAATTAAGTTGGAATTGCAGGAATTAATTTAAAATTGTAGGAATTAATCTGTAAATTTAATATTAATAAAATTACTGAATTTGAATTCCTGTGAATTTTTTTAGAATTGGAATTTGAAATTATAGGAATTAAATTAATCCAAAAACTGAAAAAATTACGATGGATTAATAGAAGTACTGGAACTGAATTACCGTAATTACTTGTAAATTACAAAATTACGCTGAATATCTTAGAAGTATAGTAATTAATTTGGAATTACAGAAATTATTTTGATATTACGAAAATCAAATTGGTAGTACGGAAATTATGTTGGAATTAATTTAGAAATATAGGAATTAATTCGAAAACAATAGAATTACAATGAACCCATTATTACTAAATAGAGTTGATGAACAATTTCGGTANCGATTGCGTCGTTATCCCGCATCCATATGCCCCAATGGGGATTCCCCGGTTAATTACCGTTTTTTTCACCACTTTGTTTTGGTATTTATCGAAAATGTGGATTTTTGATTGAATAATTGTCAGCACGTGCCTACTTCCTAGTTCGTTAACGGCTGCAAGGTTTGCTGATCCATATGAAGTGGCACCTGGTTTGGCTCGCGCGACGAACAGGGTGGATATCAACGGACGATAAGGGCGCGCACCCCACTGTACAACGCCCCTTCTCCCTCAACAGCGCGACAGATTAGCAAAAACAAAACCGGCGAAAATAATAACAAAATTATTTTTTGTGCAGTGTTGCAAGCTTATTTCGAAAAGTTAAGACACGTTTCAGACTTTGACGTTTAAGAGATCTTTTACTCTTTTATTGATTAAAAATAGTTTGTTATTAGGTATACAAGTTTTACAACGACGAGCGTAGCGAGGAGTGTAATACAATATACAATATATAAATTTATACTTTGCTTTATTTCTTGACAAATGAAATATCGAGGAACCGTTAACTCTAGAATTAGTTGTACAAATTTTTGGAATCTAATCGTACCTAATTGCTTGGAATTGTTTGGAAGTTTATGGAATTATTAAAATTATTATTGGAATGTCTGAATTAATAGAATTTTTCTTGAATTACTGGATTTTTTTTCACTTTTCGGAGATAATTTCTTTTGAAAATTGCAATAAACTTCTTAAAACTATCAGAATTAAGTTGGAATTACAGGAATTAATTTGAAATTGTATAGAAATTAATTTGAAAATTTATTATTAATAGAATAATAATTAATTAATTAATTGAATTTCGGTGAAATTTTTCTGAACGGGAATTTGGAATTATAGGAATTAATTTACAATTATAGAAATTGAATTAATTTTAAAACAATGGAGTACTGGAATTGAATTACCGGAATTATTTTGATATTACGAAATTACGGAAATTATGTTGCAATTAATTTAAAATTATACAAATTAATATAAAAAATAATGGAATTACAACAAAATAATAGAGTTACTGGAGTTGAATTGTCAGAATTATTTGTAAATTACTAAAAAAAATTTGGAATTAGGTACAAGAATTCTTTTTGGAATTATAATTTATTCTTTTAAAAATTACGTTGAATTTCTTCAAACAATCGAAATTAATTTGATATTGCAGGAATTATTCTAATTAATCTAAAAACAATAAAATTTTGGTGGAATTTTTTGTAATTAGAATTAGTTGTACACATTTTTTCCAATTAACGACCCTCGTTATAGTCTTAAAGTTCGTACTTTTCTCTTTACAGTGGTAAACATTTTTCTAGATGTCCTAACTTTTTCTATATAAGATTTTTAAAAAGAGCATGTTTTCGTTAAGATTTTGTTTTTATCTATTTTGTTATTTAAAAAACTAAAGTTTAATTTTTTTAACTTTGTTTCATATTTTTTAATCATGAGAAAACTTCAACATAAAAACAAGAAAAAAATAATAATAAAAACGTGGTGATTTCCGTTAAAAAAACAGACTAAAATAATGAGCAATACTTTAAGTCCAATTGAGTTGGTCGTACAGCAGGAGGGCCATCTAAATTCCTATCAGTATCAAAGGACGGACGAGTACTAGAATCAATAACTTTATCACCTAAGGCATAACGTGAATCGTAGCTTTTTTGTGGGCTATAATTATTGTCAATTAAATTATGTGATGGTAAAACATCAACAGGTAAACTGTAATTAATATCATCTTCATTCTGATTAGGTAGGGCATATGTATCGTGATTCCTTGGTATTGAGGCTCGAGGGGGGATCATATCAGCTGGATATGAATACGAATCATCTGGCATAATTTGTTGAGATTCGAGTTGTTGTTTTTTAGCAAGTGCTTTCTGTTTAGCCCTTTCCCGAGCCCTTCTTGCCTTATTCCTCTCCCTTTCTTGCAACATTTTCGCAAGTTCTTTGTCTTGAGCCTCGATTGCAAGCATACGATCACGATTCAACAAAGTGTCTTCTAAATTCCCCTCTTGTTCTTGCAATTTTCGGGCTAATTCAGCATCCCGTTCCTCTTGGATTTGCCTTTCTGTGAGTTCATCTAATGGCAGCCCCACTTCAGCGATGTCAATTCTCTCCAAATGTGAAGCCAAATCCGGTTTTCGATACGGTTCGGTGTACAAATCCGGTAGTGGCATTGGTTTGGCTTGTCTCCGAGGCGGTGGAGGTCTTTGGGGTGAAAGTGGGTGTCTTTCTCTGTGTAACATTTGACGAGCAACATTTTGGTCTTGCATTTCAATGAGTCTCCGTTTTTGGCGTTCTTCTCGTTCCAGTTCTTCAGCGAGTTGTTTAGCGACTTGATTGTCTTGTTCTTCTTGTTCGGCTAACATTCGTTGGTAGATTAGGGCTGTTTGTTCGGCCAATTGTTGTTCTCTGAGTTGTTCACTTTTGGCTCGGGGGAAGTCTTCGCGGACTAGAGCATTACGATATTTGTTACCTGAGAGGTGTTCGCTGTATTCTTGGTTTTGGAGACGGTAAGCCAAAGCCCCATCTTCACGAACCATCCATTCTTGACACACTTCGGTTACTCTTCCTTTGGGGAGGGCTTCGCCATCGCGAACTTTTGCTTCAGACATTTTTGGAAATATTTGACTGAGTTATTCACTGATGTTGACACGAAAACATACGGGTCACTGGTCACAAAGCAATCACCTCTTACTCATTATTTCGCTATTTTTGAGGTTAGTACTTGTTAAATGACAAATTTATTAATACAAGAGGGCATTTCGTTGTATAATGCACCATCAATATGGGAATTAATTACATTATTCATGTTCTAATAACAAAGAACTGTTTGAAGTTTGTCGAACTAATAAAAAATGTGTTGACTATCTGTCACCTGTCAGAAATGTCAACTCATTTCAAAATTCCCTAACTTGGCAGCAGTTGTCAACAAGCAAAACACCAGTGTTTTGTTAGTTGCATATTATCTATTTTTATTTATATCAAAAAAATTATACTCACAGAACCAAAAAAATAAGACAATAAGGTTGTTAAATGTAAAACGACCTTCAGTTTTCAGTTTAGCATTTTGGTTTTAAAAAATTAAATTTCACTTTAAAGCCTCGTTCACAGAAAGTGTCAAAATGAAATCCCATTTACATTTACAACAAAATATTAACAATTTTTCAAATGTTATTGATGTAATAAATGATGTCAAACATAAATGTATAAGTATTATTTTTGCATCTTTTTCAAGCATTTTTATGTCTTTCAAATAGCACATGTTTCCCTAAAATTGTTTTATTTGACACAAATAAGCCGAGAGACCACAAAATTTGATTGAAAATGCTTTTTAAGTATGTTTTTCTACTAAAATCTCAGTTTTTGGGCAAGATTTCATTAAAGGGAACTAAAAAATCAACAAATTAAGCCAAAAATTTTATTATTTTTGCTTTTCTGGACCTATTTATGATTTTTTTAAAAGATAACATATTCCATACTGCATTCAGTGATTTATCGAGTTCAAGACAACATTGTAAGCATTTAAAAATTACGATTTACATTCTTCTTCGCCAAAGATTCTATTTTGGCATTTTTTACATCTCACTTCAGAATACATCGGAAATTTTAGTAACAAAAACGATTTTGGATATCAATTATAATAAAACTGGCCCTCTACAAATTATTTTGGTTTAATAGGAAAAAAAACGCTTTGGGCTCGTATTCATATTATTAAGAGATTTTTTTTCAAAAATTGAGCATTATTTTGCTTGTTTTTTTCCATGTCTTTAAATTGGTGACACTGTTTAAGAATCGCGCGCGTTTTTATCTGTCACCAAATGTCAAAATAGTGAAACGTGTTGATTAGTAAAACGTTTCAAATCTGTTAAAATGGATTTTGATGTGAAAGTGTAAATACATTGTGAAAGTTTGGGAACACAGTTTTAAAAAGACTCAAGGCCGCTTGCCCTCAAAGGTAATTTAAAAATTTCTGTTTAATTAATGTCTTTTAGCGCCAAGGTGCATATTAATTTTTTCCGTAATATGACAATTTGAATTCATTGAAATGTTGATTGATTGCAGTAAAAGAATTGTCGTATAATGAATTACTTTAGTGCCGATTTTGGGACTTTTTACTGACGATTTTATGTAACTTTGGTGACGATTTTGAAAAAAAAAATATAATTATCAGTATTGATACATCTGCAGAATTTTTACAGAAAATTGACAAAAGTAGTATTTGAGCAAAAACAAAAATTTTTTGTAAAAATTATCTACCTCTTAATAAGTAAATAATTATAATAATTATTATCATAATTGAAATCACGATAAATTCTTTATTCTTATTTTTAATTCTTTATTACAAAATTTTGTCTTATTTTTATTGTACAAAAAACAATTATCATTAAGATTGTAGAAAAAATGGAACTTAAATTAAGCTAAACTTTTCTTGTTTTGCTTTTTTCATGCTCTTGTAAAGTGCTAGGTAGAATAGGTATTTTCTCATTATTAATGTAATCGAAAAATCCTTATGAACAAAAAACATTTAAGATTGGATAAGTAAGTCGTAATTAGGTTCTCCTGCCCTAGATGACTGCAAGTACTTTATGTGGGTATAACTACTACAACAACTCCTTTTCACCACCTCATCTTCCATCATAATTTTACGCCATTCCATCTAAAAACACATAACACATTAATACATCAGATGAACAAAAGAATAGAACCAAAAATTTTTTCTTAAACGATTTATTTTTCAAAAACTACTATAAAATGTGACGTTTCTCGAAAATAGATTTCTTTTCAAAGGCTATGATATAAGAATTACTAGTCCCTAACTATATTTAATTCAATTTTTATCGAATAAATTTCAAATAAATTGCTATTTTGAAAATAAAATCGCATATCTCATAAACAAACCATAATTTCATTCTTAAGCTTTAATTTTTATTAATTATTATTTTCTGAAAAAAACGCTTGGTTCTATACTTTTTGTTCACTCCCTGTATAATCACAGTCACAAATACATACAAGTTTCTTATATTTTTCTTTTTTCAAAATATAGTCCTTGCCAAAAATTTTCAGGACTTCGGATCTCTCACACCATGGCCATATCATATAGTCCAACATTCCAGGCTTACCGCCCCCAAAAAATGGACCTGGCCTGTCAGTTAATTCCTTTTCAAAAGTTGCAAGTCCTTCGGAAATAATTTGGGCCTCGTCGTGTTCAATACGACCCAAGGAGACTGTTTTCAGTAAAGCGTTAATAATCTAACCCAAAAATTAACCCAAGAAATTGGTAAATCCTAATTTTGAAATATTATTTCACCTTGGTAAATTGCTTCAGTAAAAGTTGGTCTTTGGCTTTTTGCAGAGGGTCCCTTGCATGTAATCGATGAGTGTTGTATTTTTCATCTAAGTAATCAGCAATAATTAAAGATTCATAGAGAACTTCTCTATTATCTAGTTCAAGTGCTGGTACTTTACCCATTGGTGATTTATCAAACATCCATTCAGGTTTGTTAACCAGATTTATGTTAACCACCTCGTATCTAGAATTGTAAGCAATTATACAGGGGTTACCAGTTAAACCCAACATTAGAAGTATTCGGAGTTTTGATAATGATATTTATCCAAAAAAATTGTTGATTTGTTAATTATTTTGTCAATTAAAAATCAAAAGAAAGATCAAACTCTTCTCTTTCAAATTAGTAACCTAAATACGATTTCATAATAGTTAAAAATTTCAAAGTTGTCAATTTTTTAAGAGGAAAAAAATCTCAAAAACAGCTCAACTTAGGTATAAAAAAGGTTCCTCAAAATCACTTGAGTGATCCAAAAACGTAATAAAAAATATAGCTTTCTATTTAAAATAACAAAGTTGATATCTACTTTCAGTATAAACATTTTGAAAATATTTTCATGGCTATATGCAAATTTTAGATAAATACAGGTGCGCCAGAACTTGTGTACCAGGAATATGGAAAAAAATGTTAAAAAAATTCTATCTATAAAAATTTCGAAGTTATGAGAGTTTATTGAGTCTATTCATTTCTGTTGGGAAAATAATTTTCCAAGTTTTTTTTGCTACAGGCTATTAGAAGAGGAAACAAAGAAGTTGTATCCTAAATTGTAACTCTGTTTAATGTTATTTGTAGCTTTTATTGGCAAAATTTTTGTATCTTTACTAAATAATTATAAAGAAAAACATTTACAAGATCATCAGTATCGTTAAATAGATAAAAAAAAATTCAAATGTCAAAAATAAATCTCAAAATTTTTTGACAGATAAAGTTTTTAAACATTTTTTTCATGTTCCTGGTATCTTATCTCACTTGAAATTTTTCTCTGGGGAGCGAGTTCTGACACACCCTGTATCATTGACTCCCAATACTTCCAATGTGGGGTGGTTTCGACGGAACACCCTATATAAAATAATAATAATTGTTTCAGGGTAATTTACATTTGCGATTCAATTAAACTGCTCCTAAACGTACTGAAATAGTCATTAGAACAAATTTTATTTAAACTAACACGTAATAGTTTGAAATTAACCAAATCTACTTCTCCTTGTTTTGTATAAAATGGCGCTGTTAAAAAACCTATTTCAATTTTAAATGAAAGCAAAATAAATTGAATTGCAAACTTGAGAAAAAAAAAAAGATTGCCGAAACCCGGGATCGAACCAGGGACCTTTAGATCTTCAGTCTAACGCTCTCCCAACTGAGCTATTTCGGCTTGTTAAAAAGATTGTTGATAATGTGATTGATAACGTACGGTATCTTTTTTGCATCTAATACTAGAATTACTCGTTGACAGTAAGGACAAAATCGATTACTATACAGGCGAAGTTTTCCTCTTCGAACAGGAGAAGGTTTCCTTGATCCTAAAAAATATAATAACACTAATTAATAAAAGTGAAAATAAAACACATGGCAAAATATAGATTAGATATGTCGACAGGTCAACCTGCGATTGAAACTTTTTTTATTTACAGAGAAAATCCGATAAATTTGAAAAAATAAAACGTCTCTTGTGTGGTGTGTTTATATTGATGTTTTTTTGGATAAAAAAATCTAATCTAAATTTAAGGAATTAATTTTTTCATTACTAGTTTTCTACACTTTTCATTGTATTAAAACTCACCCTGTAGGTAAAATATGACTTGAGAAAATAAGTTTTTATTTAAATCATCTATTAATTCCCTCGATGCTACGCATCTAGGGTAATAAACAGCTCCGCTATAAAAATTTCTTCTCTACGTTGTATATAATATACTATTATTTTTAAAGAATATAAAATGATGGTGACATTAAATAAGAGAGGTAGAAGAACTTTTTCCGATTTGTACACGTCATCCATACTAAAGGTTGCATGCAGGAAGTTTATCTGTTCTATATTTACACTTTGTGTCTTCTAAAAGTCGATAATCCGCTTCGATTCCAACTTTGTTGGTTCAATGTGCTTTTATGCAGTGATTTTTCCAACAGGTGCATAAATAGGAAATAAGAGGTCAACCTCATATGTTGTCAAATATAATGAAACAGAATTAAAAATAAGTATGACAGCATTCACCGTAACTTCTTGAAATAGTGTGTATTAACACAAACAAATGAAAATAAAATACTCAAATAAAATTAAACGAAATGTTGATTTTATGATAACATTAAATTTTGTGATATGCTAATGCAAAAAATGAATGAAAACAGAAATTGGAAGATTGCAAAATACAAATATTTACTTATTTAGTGGCATTAGCATTAGGTATGTCAATAAGAAAAATAAAATTAAAAATTAGTACAAAATTAATAAATTATTAGTTTCATTTTGGTTGAAACAATTTTTTTATAATCAATTCTTATTATAGGTATGAGTAATACTAATAAATTCATACATGCATGGTGTAACTTACCTTTGGTAAGATGTTTGGAATTCATAATTTTTTCGCACTTTATTTTATATTGCTATTAAGTTGGTAAAATCCTTTATGTTACCAAATGTGTTATCAAACTGTAAAAGTAGAATTTTCGCAGACAGCTGAAGGCGAACTGAAATCATAGTTTTAAGTGACGGTCATGCCAAACAACTTTTCTACAACGCGCATTCGCATAATGCAAACTCTAAATTTATACATAATATTATGTATAACTAAATAATTTGTTTTTGTTCATTTACAAATTCATAGTACTGTCCTAAAAATAATTTAAATAGAAAGCAGTGCCTCCGCTGCCGGCAATAGTGCCCGAAAAAATAGACCCGATCCACAGAATTATAGATTATACCATGGACAGATCTTAGCAATCTTTGAGGTGGGACAGGATTAATTTTCGGGTTTTTTTTTTCAAAAAAGTTTATTGTACAGGATGTCCCAAGTTTTAGGGCCGGCGCAAAAATAAATATTTCTACTGATTAAAAAAAATTTTACAAACGAGGATTATGGAGACTTCATTTTGATGCTTTAATATTGTCCAAAATTTTTAGCATGTCAGTGAGACCAAATTTGGAAAAAAAAATTGTATTTTTTGTATTGTAACTTATTTTTGGGACACGATGTATAGTTGAAAATAATTTTAAGCAACGAACTAGATTAGTATCTATCAATTTCCCATATACATGTTTTAAAATATTATCGTTTAAAGGTAATATTGGACTTTACCAACTCGCTGGGACAGCCTGTATAGTAAATTAAAAACACAAATTCAAGTTTAAAAAACGAGTAGCGTAGTCACGTGTTATTTTAAAACATGAGTGCTTCAAAGTTTTATGAAACGAGTTTTTAGCAATTCTTTTATTAAAAATTAAAAAAATATATTTAGATTATTAATTCTAAACAACTTTTTGACGTATCCGTTTATAAAAAGCAATTATCTTGAAAATAAAATTAAAAATCATAATTGGCCGATGATTTTGAAATGTGGTATAGTGGCCTAAATGTTGATTCTAACCAACTTTTCCTAATAACTTTTTGTCGTATTTGCTACATAAAAAAAAAACTTTATAGAAAAATAGTTTTTTTGATAAGGCATACAAGTCGGGTTGAATGCCAAAAAATGAAAATTTAAATCGAATTTTTTTTATTTTTTACGAGAGTCGTTTCACCTATTTCGTCTAATGATAATGAAAAATTTATTTCTCTATTTCTGATTAAAAAAAATGGCCAAAAAGTTTAATACACATCTTGTGTGTTAACCATTTTACGAGACTCAATTATTATGAACACACTCTGCTAAGTGGCAAATTAATTTCACCCTGTAAAATTTCATTTCTACCACATGAATGTAAATATCTATATATTTTCGAGCACTGCTTATCTTTTATCTATTCCAATATTCTAAACGGGATAGATAACTTACAAAACACGTTTGCTTGGTAATGGTCTAAGATCAGTGGTCTAATGTGAACAAAATAATAATAAAGTTCAAACGTAGTACTTCAAAAAAATTAAATACATTGTATTTACTCACAGTTCAAAAAACAGTTTCTATAATTTTTTTTCAGCCGATAAGTATTGAATAATAAAAGAAAAAAATTAAATACCAAGAATAATAAAACAAATCTTCCAAACGCGGTTGTATGCAACCCGACGTTAAACCATTAAACCTGCGCAGTATCAAAAATCATTGGCGCGTGTTACAAGAGTTTCAAAGAGGTTTTGCTCTTTCAGTCCCTCGAGGTTCGAGTTGTGGTTTCGTTCACATAGTGTTTGAGTGGAATCTCAAAAGAATTTAAGTGTTATTGTGAATTGTTTACAAATGTTGTCTTCTGTTATATCAATGTTTTTTCAACAAATATACAAAGTGGAAGATTCTTAACGGTTATTTGAATAATAAATAAATAAATAATTTGTTAAAATGACCAGTGGAAAAGAAAATATCGATTGGGGTGAGGATTTCGACGAGACGATTTACAAAAGTTGCTTTGCTCGTTCAGTGGCAGTGAATTCACAATATAAACAATTGAAAACATCGGAACAGCTGCAACCAGAGGAAAAAGATTCTTCCCAGGAGGAGTTTAAAAGATTATCTGGTCGACCGTTACTATTAACTCAACCTATAGTTGAGGAAATTAAAGTGAGAAAGGTTAGTATACCACTTATCAAGTTTTTTTACTTTTTTTAACGTAATAAAAATTAAATTTCGTTTGTTACGACTTTTTATAAAGATCTTGATAAATTTTTAAGATGTTGTCACTTATTTTCTCATGCCATTGTATTTCTTAAAACAATATAAAAGTGATAAAAGATTTTTTGTGTAGAAGGAAACTAAATTAAAAAGTTTTGGGTTTTGTTCACTTTCTATTTTTTACTTTATGTCAGAGACTTTTAATTAAATTTACTGTAATTGCAGTAAATAATTAATTCATTTGGAAGCTCAATACGAGAGTTAACATTCACTTAACATCTGGATAATTACTTACTCAATTAAATCAATTTGCAAAATGAATCGTAATTTTTATTTCTAGTAGGACATCCTATATGGCTTTTCACTTGTAATATTTTTATTAGACATAATATAAATTAATATACCAGGTGAACAGAAATTATGGAACCAAACGTTTTTTGCTTAAGATATTTATTTTTTGGAAAAAAAACAATGATGAATGAAAAGTGTGACGTTTTGCAAGAAAAAAAAATCGATTTTTTTTGTTTCTGAGTTCTACAGTTTGTTTTGCACAAGTTATGACAAGTCTCTACGAATTATTCAGTTTTTATTGAAAAAAAAATCATATAAGGGCAAAACTCATTTTTTTCATTTTCAAAATACTTTAATTTTTATTAATTATTATTTTCTGAAAGCAAATGGTTAAAGAAAACTCTTGGTTTCATACTAGTGTTCACCCTGTATCTCTGATTTTTAGAGGTACATTTTTAAACTGCATTTTTCATGTTCTATTTTTGGGATTGTTAATTTTAGGCTGTCTGCTGAAACCTTCTAATTGACTTAGGTAATTTATCACAACATTCAGGTTTTATCAGTTTAGAGGTGGAAAAGAGAGATGTTAACTATTATTCTATCTGCGACAACCTTTATTATAATGAGATGTCACCTGTTTGCATTTAAAACAGATTTATGTGTTTAAGAACCGTAAGCCGGAAGCAGCTGTTGTTAATGAATAAATAATTGTTGCTGTTTTTTTAATCAGATTCATGTTCGGTGGAATTTAAAGGTCTTTGTGGGACCAAATAGCAATAAACAATTGTACTTTCATTTTACAGTTTGTTAATTAAATCATTGTTAATTAAATCGTCGTTGTCAACATTTTTAGATGGTTTTATCGTAATTAAATCATAAGTAACTGTGCTAATGAAATTTTTAAGGGATCGTGGGAAGTGAAAGTGAATACGTTTACTTATTTAAATGAGACTAAAAATCACAATAATGAACACACAGGCATTTGTTACATCCGAGAATTGTTCTTCTTAAGCACGTATGAAGTGTTTTACAATTTCTCTTTTCCCGTATGTGGAGGAATGTTACAAAATTGTTTTTTTTTTGTAAAATATTTATTACTGTTTTTTATCCTCATTTGCAAAATAAGTGTAATGTTAAAAACAAATTAAGTTTACATAAAGCTCTGTCAATAAAATTGTAGTAAGAACAGCCAGAAAGACATATTTTTCGACCTACCTCAAAATAAGTTTTATTTTCTTTTTGATTTTAAAACCTATTATTTATACCTAACAGTCTTTGTTAAGAAATAAAAAATAAACATCCGTTTATGTTAAAATTCAGCCAAAAATACACCCTTTTCGTTGACTGCTATAGATAAAGTTAGGTTCATTGTTGCCAGTTTAAAAAAAATAAAATTCACCAAATCCGAGCTGAAAAAGTTTCCAGATTTATACCTATTTTCACTAGATTACAAGATTATGATTTAATCTTTGTAAAAGTGTCGAAAGTTTATATTTCTATATAAACTGAGCGTAAAGATATAATTGTATAATCATTCTTTATAACAATTTAGTGTTTTTTTAGACAAAAACGGAGTTTTAAGAAAAAAAATCTGTTGAAATTCTAAAAAAAAACAAAAGTGATATAAGCAAAACAAGCTAAAAGTTTATCATTTTCGATTTAAGTTTGTAATTTTTAGCCTGTTTAAACAAAAACGTGCTTAAACATTGGGGTAAGGCAAAAACAAAACCTTTAGGTCAATTTTTGGCTTGTTTTTAACGAAATGTGGCAAAATAGTTGTGTTTCTTCTTGAAAAATATACCAACAATACCATTAAAAAAACAACAGGAATTATTTATTTGCGACTATATTTAAAAAAAAGCAAACAGAACAATTTTTATTTAATTTGATGTTTTTTTAATTATATTTTGGCAAAATAATCAAGTTTCTGGAAACAAAAACGTGGAAAATGTTCATTTATTTTTGACTTAATTTAATTATTATTTAATCTTAATTGAGAAATTAATGTATTATTTTTTTGTCGTAACCTCAACCGTAACAGTGTTTTTCATTTCTAAAAATATTACCAGATCAACATGAAAACTATTTAAAAAATAATTTCCCTTATTTTGTACTTTTGAATATTTGTAGATTAATTTATCTGTGTTCTGTGAATTAAATAAATCAAAACGGGAAAAATAATACATTTTATTTTTTTCTTTATGAATTCACCGGATAAATTCTTGATTAGTTTCACTAAAACTGAATAATCCTACTGATGTTCACTGACTGGAAAAATTGGTGCCGAAAAAAGTCACTCCTGAAGGATTTTAGTGTGTTTCATAGATTTTGAAAAGTATTTTTTTAATATTATTTTGCGATCATACCCATAAATTAGTCATCAATGTTCTGATGTAAAAATTTGCACAAATTTCTTCACCTCTTTACTGCTATAGTGCTATATGAACAAAACCTTGCCTCAACATGTTAACGGTAACGTAAATTATTACCATAGAAAGACCTATAATTATTAGTTTATCTCTTACTGTCTAATAGTAGGAAATCTTGAGGGTTATTGGGTAATATAATATTATCTGAATGGTATATAATTAACAAATTGTAATATTAAAGCTGCAGACAAAATATAATGGCATGTTATAAAAGTAAATCAAATATTTATTATATAATAGGTAATTATTTTTAAATTAATAATGGGAACTGTATATTATAAGGCAACCTACTTAAAAATATAAATTATAATTTCATTCACAAAAACTGACTACATTTTGAAATTCTATAGACAATAAACAATATACCTACATTTTTATTATTTATTATGTATGTTGCTTTGTTATTTTATTTTTTGTTTGGTGAAAAAATTACAAATATTAATACTTTTAATTAGTCACATGACCAAAAAAATGATCGTACAAAATACTGACCCTAAGTGAAAACTCCATGAAATGTCTTTTTGTCCTTAAAAAGGACTAATTTTAATGGAGTTTTTTTTAAAAACTAAAAGTTTTTTAACTTGTGCAAAACACTTTTTGCAGGTTGACAATTCATAATTGACAGTTTACTCCAGTGTTGTCAGATTTTTCGTTTAAAATAACGAGCCACCATACAAAACCACGAAACGTTATAATACTTATAAATAGAAAACAGATATACGTTAGCAATAGGATTACATTAGGACAATAATTTGGCAACACTGTTGTCAATGTTTGCAACTCACAATACACAAAATTGTGGTATAATGAACTACTTTAGTGCCGATTTTAGACTTTTTATTGACGATTTCGGAAAAACACATTTCTCTCATTTTTTAAGTTTAAAGTATTTTTATATTGACAATATAAACATCAATCACTTCTAAATCAGTTTCGGTCTCTTGGTCACTGTGGCAGGATGCTGATAATTCCCATAATAACCAGTATCAAACTTGTTTTAATAATTACTTTGCTCATAAGATGCTCGAAAAAAATTATAATGAAAATTTTTAAACTGCCATTCTTTATCTATAGTATCGGTAATTATTATTTCAAAGACGTTGACAAAGTAGAAATTGATTTATAATTTTCAAATTTTATCCCTAACCTAAATCAAGGTAATTTATGCTCCACGCTTTGTTAATTTCAGTGATGGCAAATTATTTGCATAATAATTTAACCCGAGCCAAAGGCAAGTTATTTACTATTTTAGTACGAATTTATTCGACCACCTTGTACGAGCATGAAATCTGGTTGTCAGACAGCGTGAACTCCGTGAACCACCCTTACCGGAAGTATGGTCAATGAACACCACCGACTAATACCTCCATTCCGAATGTTATGCTGTATACAACACACATGCCAGCTATTCTTTCTACACTGTACTTGTAATAAGTTAAAAAGAGATGAGACGAGGTGTGAAATGTGCGTAAAAATAGGATTTTCGTTTTTAGACGCTAGGAAAGAGTTGTTTCCGGTGAATCAACGGTTTTAATGAGTGCGTATTTGATTAAACCCTCATGGGTATGTTTGTATTATTCTTTATACAGGGTGATCCGGCTAAGTCCCACATTAGAAGTATTGGGACTATTGAATGATATTTAAAATTTGTAAACCGATTAGGTCTAAAACAATGAAAAATTTTCAAGATGGTGGTTATACCGGAAGTGGGTATCAAGTTTGGTATTTTAATTAGAATGCTATGTTTTTTATTGCGTTTTTGGATTTCCTGAGTAATTCTAGGAGAGTTATTATTGATCTTCCCTACACACCTAAGTTTTTGTTTTTGGGATTTTCAATTTCAATTAAATACACCGAGGGACCGTTAAAAAATGTATACCTACAACTAATTCTAATTATAAAAAATTTCACCAAAATTGTATTGTTTTTAGATTAATTCTTGTAATTCTAACTTAAGTAACTTAAATAAAATCTGTTGAAATTCTCAAAAAAAAAACAAAAGTGATAATTTTTGGGCTAATTTTGTAAGTTTTTACCTTTTTTTAACGATATTTTGTAAAATAATAATTGAGTTTCTAGCTGAAAAACGTGTTAAAGCACTTGAGAAATGCAAAGATTACAAAATTTTCGACTTAATTGGTTGATTTTTTCATTTGAAATTTTAACATAAAAACATGATTAAAAAAAAGTATTTTGACCAAATTTTGTGATTTCTCAGCTTATTTTTGTTTTTGGGGT